ATCTTGCGAATCTGTGAATTGAAAAGAAATCGCCAAGACGGAGACCAGGAGAGGCAAGAAAAGAGCCGACTCAGACCCAGAACTTAAACCGGTTGTGAGACCTAGGATTGGATCTACTTCAACCCCCAAAATGTCAAGAGAAAGAGAGAAAAAAGAGATGCAAGCCTCCATGGAAGCAATGGAGAAGAGAATGACAGAGGCAATACAAGCCATGGGGGAGCAGATAGAAAAAACATTGGGGGACCAACTGGAGAAGCAAACTCAGATTCATCTGAAACATCTAGAAGAAGTCCAAGAGAAGAACATAACAGCATTGAAGGAATTGGTTACTACAGAAATAACTTCAATCAAGCAAGAAATGGAAGGAGTTAAGAAGGATGTTCAAGCAAATGCAACCAAGACTACAGAGACAGAGGAGAAGATACAAAAAATAGAAGAGAAACAAGATTCTTTGACTCAACAAATTACAAGATCAGAGACAATGATGGAGTTCAGAAGGATGCAGACTCATCTGAGATTCAGAGGCATTAAGGAAACAGAGAATGAGAACTTAAAAGAAAAAATGATGGAAGTGATAACGGCTTTTCTGGGCGAGGAGGAAGGGTCAATGGACTCAGACTTTGATTTGATTTATAGAGTGAACTCCAGAATTGCAGAAAAGAAGAATTTACCAAGGGATGTAATTGTACAATTTGTAACAAGATCAATAACAGAGGAGATATTCAAGAAGCAATTCAACGTCCCTTTTGTAATAGAGGGAAACAAAATTATGGTGATGAGAGAACTCCCAAGAACAATACTGCAAGACAGGAAAAGGTATAAATCCTTGGCGGACAAACTCAGAGCTTTGAGCATCAGATATAGATGGGAGATTCCACAAGGTTTATCCTTTACGTATCAAGGTGGGAGGATTCAGATCAGATCGATGATGGACTTTTATAAATTTAAGGCGGACAATGCGGACGTCTTTGGAGAACTTTAAAATAAAACGCATAATGGAGTACAAATTGTTGTCATGGAATGTTAATGGATTAAATTCACCAAACAAGAGGAAAAGAATCAATCATTGGATACAGAAACAGAAATGCAACGTGATATGCTTGCAAGAAACACATATTAGAAAACAGGATATAAAATATTTAAAGAATGCTTTATTTGGAATTGAATTTTGTTCTGCGGCCTCAAACAAGAAAAAAGGAGTTGTGACATATGTGAAGAAGGAGTTACAACCTACAGAAATTTTTAAGGACATAGATGGCAGATACGTGGGTGTGGAATTAATGATTCAGCAGAAAAAAACATTGTTGATCAACGTGTACGCACCCAATGGAGCAAAGGAAAAATTTTTTAAGGATATAACTGACCAATTACAACAATTGACTTATGAGCAAGTTATTATGGCCGGAGACTTTAATGGGACAATAGATCGTCTAGACAGAAAACCACAAAAGGACAACGAATTCAGCGGAAAATTGCCAAAGAATTTTTTTGAATTAGTTAAGCAAGAAAAATTAGAAGATGTTTGGAGGAAATGGAACCCGATGCAGAAAGACTTTACTTTTTATTCCAATAGACATTGCTCTTTTTCCAGAATTGATATGATTTGGATGTCTGAAGAATTATCAATGAAAACACATAAGACTGAAATTTTGCCAAGATGTAATTCAGATCACAATCCGGTGGTATGGAGTTCCACAGAAAGGAAAAAACCCTTTCTGTGGAGGATTAATGAAGACTTGTTGGATAAGAAAACGGTAATTGAGATGTTAAAGGAAGAAACGAAACAATTCTTTCAACAAAATTTAAATAAAGAAACACCGATACAGATTGTATGGGATGCTTATAAAGCGGTGATGAGAGGAATTCTCATCTCGCAAAACGTGAAGCAAAAAAAGGAAAAACTTCAAAAACAAACAGAAGTGTTAGAAAAAATTGCTCAGAAAGAAAAGGAATTAAAAAAGAAGCCTGGAAAAAAGCAAATTATTAAAGAATTAAAGTTGCTGAAGGAACAACTGAATGAGACTTGGAATCAGGAAATGTATTGGAATTTAAAGAAGTTACAACAGAAATCTTTTGAAGGGGCGAACAAACCGGGAAAATACTTAGCTTGGCAACTTAAGGCTAGAAGAGAGAGAAGAATGATAACCAAAATAATAGAAGATGGAAAAGAGTTCGTTGATCCTAATGGAATAAAGAGATGTTTCTTCAAGTATTATGCTAAACTATTCCAAACAACTAGAGTTGATCTTGAGAAGATTAAAACATATTTAAAGGAGATTCCACTACCAAAAATAAGTAAGGAATACAAAGATTTATTAAATGGTCCAATTCAAAAAGAAGAAGTGATGAAGGCAATAGAAGAGACAAAGTTGGGGAAGGCGCCTGGGCCGGACGGATTTACAGCGAAATTCTACAAAAAGATGAAAGAAGAAATTTCCCCGGTCCTGGAAGCTTTAACCAACGAAATAAGAGAAAACAAAAAGGTGCCGGACTCATGGAAAGAAGCAATTATTTCTTTGATTCCAAAGGAAGGACAAGATTCAACAAATGTAAAGAACTACAGGCCAATATCTCTTTTGAACAACGATTATAAAATCTTTGCAAAAATTATTGCAGAAAGGGTGAAAAACTATTTACAAACGGTAATTTCTGAAGATCAAGCGGGCTTTTTACCCAAAAGGCAGATTAGAGACAATGTAAGAATAGTAATGGACGCAATTGAATATTATGAAAAGCACCCAGAAAAAGAAGTAGCTTTTCTGTTTGTTGATGCAGAAAAAGCTTTTGACAATCTTAATTGGAATTTTATGCACCAGATGATGGAAAAGATTGAAGCGGGACAACATTTTAGAAATTGTATTGAAGCTATCTATTCTGAACAAAGAGCTAAAATAAATGTGAATAAAGAACTGACAGATAACTTCAAAGTACAGAAAGGAACAAGGCAAGGTTGTCCGTTATCACCGTTATTATTTATCTGGGTATTGGAAATACTTTTACAAAAAATACAGTACGATCAAGAAATAAAGGGCTTGACACATAAAGGACACCAATACAAATATCGAGCATTTGCAGACGATGTAATGTTTATGGTGGAAAACCCAACAGAAAAATTGACATTGCTTTTTCAAAAAATAAAGGAGTTTGGAGAATTGGCCGGCTTTTACGTAAATAAGAATAAAACAAAACTTATATGTAAAAACATGATCAAACAAAAACAAGTGGAACTACAAGAACTGGTACAATGTGAAGTAGTTAAAAAAACAAAATACCTTGGAATTGAATTAACGGCAAAAAATATAGACCTATATAAGAATAATTATGAGAAATTATGGACTAAGCTGACTCAAGATTTTAAGAAATGGGATAAAATGAACTTATCACTGATGGGAAGAATATCAGTTATAAAAATGAATGTCCTACCACGTTTGATGTTCCTGTTCCAAACAATACCAATTCTGCATAAAACGGATTTGTTGGCCAAGTGGCAACAAGAGTTGTCAAAATTTGTTTGGGCAGGCAAGAAACCAAGGATCAAAATGAAAATACTTTGTGATGCCAAAGAAAGAGGAGGTCTACAAATGCCAAATCTTAGACTATATTATGAAGCGGTTTGTCTAACATGGATGGATCAATGGGTGAAGCTTGAAAATGACAGATTGTTGGGGTTGGAAGGGCATGATTGTAGATTTGGCTGGCATGCATATTTATGGTATGACAAGATAAAAATGGACAGTTTTTTTAAACTTCACTTGGTGAGAAAAGCTTTGTATATGGTATGGACAAGATATAAGAAGTACCAGAGTGACTTAAGACCATTGTGGATTGTACCAGTAGAAGTGTTGATATCTTACTCAAGACAGCGAGGTAGAGACTGGTTGCCATATAGAGATTTAATTAAAAAAGAGGGAACAGAGTGGGTAATGAAAAAGCAGAATGAAATTGAATATGAATATGAGTGGTTGAAATATATGCAGATTTATGATCTTTTTAGATCTGACAAAAAAAACTATGGTTTTAGAGAGGAAAAAAATGAAATTGAAAAGGTTTGGGAGAGTGGAGGAGGAAAAAATATTTCTAAAATGTATAAGGTGTTGTTAAAATGGTATACTGAAGATGAAACTGTTAAAGAACAAATGTTAAAATGGGCTATTAATATGAATAAGGAAGTGGCTATGGAAACCTGGGAATATTTGTGGAAAAATTCTATTAAGATCTCGACATGTACTAATGTTAAAGAAAATTGTTATAAGATGATGTATAGGTGGTACATGACACCTAAGAAGATTGCAAATATGAATCAAAATATGTCAAACAAATGCTGGAAATGTAAGAGGCATGAGGGCTCATTTTATCATATGTGGTGGACTTGTGAGAAAGCTGTAGACTTTTGGACAAAAGTCCACAATGAAATGCAAAAAATATTGAAATGTTCTTTTAAAAAAGCACCGGAAATTCTGCTTTTGGGACTTAAAATGGAAGAAGTCAATACGACTAAAAAGACTTTACTCTGGTACCTGATAGTGACAGCGAGAATGATTTATGCTCAGTTTTGGAAGACAGAAAAGGTACCAGAGGTTGAAGAATGGATACAAAAAGTTCTGTTCATGGCACAAATGGATAAGATTACAAAAAAACTGAATAACAAAGAAGACGATGAGTTTTTTGGAGAATGGAATGACTTTAAAATTTATCTGGAAAAGAACTGGGATGTGAAACAAAACTTAATATGTTTAGATCAATATTAAGTCAAATGATGTTATCTTTAGATTGTAATGATGAGAAACTGATATTGTACCATGAAGTCAAGTCCGAGTGAGAGCAATTCTCCTTGGAAATGTTATTCAGCCTCTCCTGTGGCCGAGATTTCACTGGGTACTGCTCACATTTACAACATCAGGGGGAGGGAGGGAGGGAGGGAGATATTCCAGCATGAATGAGAATATGCATCTGTAACATACTTTTACTAGCATAAGCCGGCACATCCAAGAGCGGGTTACCTGGGTGGGCAGGGCTGCTGATTGTACCGGCAAGAGTCCTGGATGCCCCCGGGGCATTGCTCGTTGTGGGAAAAGTTGACTGGCGGGACCTGAGACATGATATTCATGTACTGAAAACGGTACCATTCCCGGAGGGCGTCGACCCCAGATAGATATACTTTTTTGTAGCATTCTCCACCTGTTTTGTTGCACTGGGGGGGAGGGGGAGAAGAGAAATACTAAGCAACTGTAATAAAAAGTTGGGTCCAAATCTACAGTCCACGTGCGGCTTTCCCCCCCCCACCCCGCCCCTTTCCAAAAGACATTTGCATGTAGATAAAGCTCCATTTAAAAGGTTTCAGAAGGTAGGCCTTACGGGCTGCAGTCAAATGGTTAGACTGGAGTCCACTAGCACTTTAGAGACCAACGAGAGTATCAGGGTAATAAT